TTTTATTTTTATGGGTTGTTAATAAAATTAATTGATAAACAAAAACAGTCCAAATATTTGGAGTGTTATAAAACAGGACAAATATTTTATAGCAATCATATAATTAAAACGAGGTTACTACAATAGGAGCATACTTTAATTACACTCGTAGTTTTGAATTACTGTTTTATCATAATGTCTATATACAGGGTGAGTTAATGATTACATTAAGTCGATTAAAAACGTACAGATATCGTAATGCTGAATATTTTTAGGATATAGTTTTTGGTTGTTTGTACAAAAGTTATAAAAGAATAATCGCGAAATATTTGCAAACTTTTTAAAAAAGATTTAAAAAATAATAATACAGAGACTAAAAGAATAATATGTGCAAATTCATATTATATTCTGCTTTATAAATTTCTTTTTTTTTTGTTCCTGCTAATATGAAATAAATTGTACTAATTGAAAAGCACTTATACATGGCTGCATTCTTTCTGTATTGCTCATTAGATGTATTTTCACCAGATTTATTTGTATTGCTTGTTTGTTTTCTATTATGTATGTCGTTAAAATTCTTTAACGACCTCCGTTACTCAAACCTGTTTACGAATTGTTTATTTAAACCTACTATTCTCCGTGCTAGAGTTGTAATTATTGTTAAAATCGTTTATATTTTACGCTATTTATTTTATTGCCTGCGATTTGACACTTCTTGAAGTATGTTTACCAAAAAAAATAAGTTTTATAATATTCTCATGACAACTGGAAATGATGTGACACTTCCTTTTTGTCAATCTTACTAACCCGACTTTGTTTTATAAGCGATATTATACCGACCTGGTCATTTGATTACTGTGTATAGGATTTTAACGTGTAAGACAGAGAATAATATAAATGACCGGTTGACAGACAGAGAGACAGCATCAAAGGGGGCCGGCGAGAAGCCGGTGCGACCGATACAGTGTTGCCGGTTTTTACGGGTGTGGGCAAGGTAAAGCATAAGCATGGTGGGAGAACGCATTGAGAGGGGCGGTGCTTTATGTTAAGGTTCGTATTCACTATCCGAAAGAACAAAGGAATGAAATTCGGTATATTTGGACAGCAAACCGTTTTTAAAAATTTTACTAGCAGACCTTGCAGTCGAACGTTGTTCTTTGTAGAACCACTTTTAGTGTGAAATGTAGAAGATAGCTTAATAGCCGTAAAAAACTAATTGCAACTTTTTTCCTATTTTGAACGGGAAAGGGGTAGTAATGGACTTTTATGTCCCTTAAGTCCTGTTAAAAAAGTGAATTTTCTTGAGTAAATAATAACTGTTCGTTATATTTATAATTAATTTATTTTTGTTTCCTGTCCCATGATAATTTATGTTAAATCTATGCTAATTTTGTTAATAAATGATACACTATTAAAAAAAACAGGGATATTACAAAAAAGATATATATACTAAAGGTAAACTATACCTATATTAGAGAATAATCTATACACACATAAAGTACTCGACCTGAGGTCAGAACAAATCAAATTAAAATACCGTATAGTTGGCCCTGCCTTCCCAACTGAAAGGTCAAGTAACTTAACTCATTTAATTGGAGTCAATCAACATTAAGAGACACTAAACTTACGCTGTGTTGAGACCTCCCGTCTAATATTCTCACTATAATATTTCATTTTTTTATTTATTTTTTATTTTAAAATTAGAAAAGCTCATATTTCACACAAATCAGATTTTTTATCCTTAGGCAATAAACTTATTTTAATAGATTTTATAATTATTTATGTTACAAAACAATCCTAAAAATACTTTAAAAAAATTATTTTAATAATTACCAGCATTTGCATAAAAAACTTTTAAACATGTTGGAATGTCATTAGCGTTTTAAAACTGGTTTTTATTCAAATTTAACACAGTACTCAATCAACTATTGTACTGATTATAGTTTTAACAGTTTCACAGATAAGGAATACACCATAAAATTTATGTTTCCAGAGAACAGTAACATGGAGATGATAAGATAAATTTTGACTTTTAATTAATCTGTGGCGATGTAGGCGTTTCGCGAACAGTAAAATAATTAACATATTTGATAAATAAGTCTGTCTAAATAAAAAATGCGCGGAGTGGAGAGTACCAAAACGATCCTAAGCGATGAGATCACCAATAACGGATTACTTTTTGGTTCGTGTTGTTCACTCCTTAGAAGAAAGGATATTACTATATTTAATACCAATTAAACTTTTAGTTACATAATCGAGGGCGCGATGTTTAAATTCATTGTTGCCAACCGTCGACATATTCGGCGCCAGGCTGAGTACCTGGAATTTAAATTTCCCGCTGGAGATTCAGGCGGTTGCTCTGTTATACAAAATGTCAAGTTGCCATATTTATTTATTTATTTCCTGACATTGTCATTCGTTTTGACAGTTTAGTTTTGAGTTTTTGGTTTAAATAAATAGTGTTTTGATATTTTAAGCTTAACAATGTTCACTAGCAGATCTTGCAGTCGAACATTGCTCTTTTTAGAACTTTTTTAAATATTTAGTATTAAAAACTTTGATACCCTTGGAGAAATGAAGCCTTAAAATTTTTACTGCAATTTTACAAAATTGAAAATATTTCAAAAACGGTTAGGTTTAAGTATAATAAACCTTAATCAAATTTACCTTTATTTTAATCGTAGAAACTAAAAATGTAATAATATACAGGGTGTTCCATTTAAAAAAATACAACTTTGATATTTTTTACTTATTTGGGACACTCTGTATCTTGTAAAATTATTTTTAAATTGTACCTCTAATAGTCCTTCATCGAACCCAAAACTTACAATTTGTAAAAATCTCATCGTTTAGCTACAATACTCCGTGTCGTATGTGGTGAAAAACCCTGTATAAGTAGAATTTGATACTTTCATTTGTTTTGAAGGATTATTGTGGTAATTAATTATTAGATAGGTTTAGGATGGTCTGGCTGCCGCGCCGGTAGGTGGCGTTCACTACTGCGCATCACATGGGTACAGGGTATCTCATTTTCGTGCGTTTTTTGGGATTTGAGATATCTGGGATTTCTCGTTTATGAGTGGACATACAATGATGCGTTTTTTTTCACATTACTTTGCGAGTTTTTTATGTAACTAAATGTTTTACCTCAGATTTGTGCATTTTCTACGCATTAACATTAATCAATCTTGTTTAGAAAATATTATTATTTTATTTAATTATTAATATTTAAAAAGAAGTCGGCGATAAAACTTTTAAACGAGCTAATCAAAAATATCTAAAGTTATTCTTTTTAATGTGGGTTTTAGTGCTCTTCAATAAACCTAAATAGAATTATTCTCTAAAATAATTATGGAAGCCAATAATTGACCCCATTAAAATTTACGTGGGATTTCCTACGTCCCGCTCGACGATGCAACACCCGGTATACTGATGTGTCATCTGCTAACTTAATTGTTACTACAGAGTGTTATAATTTAATCTTATTTAAAATAATACGTATCCTTCTGAACTTCTTTACTTTTTTATGTGTTAAGTATCATTTTACTTTACATCTGTCATTCATAACAAGAGCAAGGGAACATTTTATATTAACAGATGATGTCTTACAGCACATGTGGGTGGATAAAATACAGCCTGAGATTAATATGAATAATCTTTAAATTTAAGACTTTAAGAAACAAGAATATGTGTTTTTTCCATAGCAACTGTTAAAATTGGCTTATATCTATCAAAGACAGTAGATAAAATAGTACTTTAACCGGAAGGGTAGATTAAATGATACTTTAACAGCGATGATAGGTTAAAAACTTTATTCTTTCTCGCACGTTTTTTAATTGCTTCCATTTTTGAAAATTGTTGTATTCCTTTTCATAAGTTATTCGGGATATAAATGGAAGTAGTTTGGATATGGCGTTTGTCGCCTCAGCCTGAATATCTGTTGGTAATTTACTTATTTCGTTTTGAGCCATTTCTGGCTCCAATTCAATCAGCAATCGACACGAAAGAGAATTAAAATATTGACTCAAAACTGACAACTAAAGAGACAGCTTTATTTATTTGTCAAATTACATAGAAACCAACGCCAACCCAGAACAATATTCCTCAATATTAAAGTGCTATCCTATGTAGAAACCCTCCGACCTGTAAGGCCTCTATATCTTTATCTGAGAGTCTGCAGCAATGAGTTCTTTCATACAGGTTGGGCTTGTTCAGGTACCACTTGGCACCCATATGTCTGTTGTAATCCGCACTTTATTTCTGGTGAGCATTAACAGTTCCTTTGTAGTTTTAGTGTTAGGTACTTGTATAAAACCTTGATATACCTGTGCCCCAGTCTTTTTCTCCAGTAGATGGTCTGCTTTCCTCTGATCCAGAGTTTTATCGGATTACAGGTTATACATTTGGGTATCTCCAGAAATGGCTCTGGACCAAGACAGTTTTCTGGTGATCCTTGCTTTGCCAGTTTGTCGACTTTTCATTGCATTGGATGCCGATTTAGCCCGGCATCCAGAATAATTTAATTCTGTTCCTTTTTAGTATCATAGTATCTCCAAATTAAATTAAGACATTTATTATTTACAAGATTACATACATATATTCATGAATAATAATAAAATCTCTGGAGCATAAAACTAAGGAAGAGCCAATATTTCCTCATTTAATTTATATTTGCACTTAATAATTGAATAAGAGCCATTAAATTATGTAACCATAGTCTTTTTGCATTTTATGCAAATATCTTCTTCGAGACGCCAAGCAGCTGTTGCTTTAAATGCTTTAAACCAGCATTATTTATTCAATATAAAACTTTAATAAACTTGCTAAATCACTTGATATAAATTAAAACCTGATTCCATTCCGTAATCAACTTCTAGAAGTTAACTGAAACCAAATCAAACCTTAGATCATATGATACATAGACACTTTTCATTTAATCGGAATTTGTAGCCAACATAAGTAAAGATATGACGTCACGTGAGGGTAAAAAAGGGCTATAAATGGTCTAGGATATAAATTACCTTTCTGTTCGGTTGTAGACGACGTGGTTGACGTCATTTTTCAAAACCGGGGAGGACATTACGAATTCGTGGTCGCAAAATGGTGGGTCATCCGGCAGATCTACTTCGAGGGGTTTCGATTGTTGGAAGAAGGTCACTCGTACTTTTTCTCGTTCGTCTCTGTAACAAAAAAAAAAACATAAAAACATAGAAAACGTTAGATCATTTTTAGAACTAGAAACTTTATCTGAATATCTTATAAATAATTGCCAAGTTGGAAGAAGTAGTAGATATAAACTATTGTGTCCCCCTTTTTTGAGTTATAACTATTCATTCAGTCTCAGGGATTTGGCAGAAGCCAGTATCTAAGACGGTTTTACAGAGATTAGTTCTATTATATATATTAGTTGGTTTAAAACGTTCTACGTTTTCCGATGCCATCTCTCCATGCCTGTCTGTCTCTCCATGCACCGTCTCCGAGAGATCGTTCCTCCATAAACGTGTCAATCTCTTCATTCCAACTTCTTCTCGGTCTACCCGGTTTTCTTCTTCCTGCAGGTTTCCAGTTTATAATTTACTTTGGAATTCTTATTTCTGCCATTCTTTGGACATGCCCGTACCATATGAGATGACTGTTCTTTATCTCGGCCACTATTGTATGTTTAACTTCCATAATCTCTCTTATGCGTTCATTAGTTATTCGCTCGAGTCTTGATTTGCCTGCTGATCTTCTCCAAAAATCCATCTCTGTAGCTTCCAGCATTCGTTTTGTTGTTTCCTTAATTGGCCACGCTTCACAGCTGTACGTGGTTATACTCTTGATGATGGTATTATATATTAGTATTTTGTTCTTGTTGATTATGCTTCTGTCCCACAGTATCCCATTTAATACCGTGGTAGCATTCCTTCCAAGTTGGTTTCGTTCTTTAATTGCTGTGTCCATCATTTGTGATTTGCATACCCAAATATTTGTATTTGGTGCAGCACTTAATTTTCCTTCCTTCTTCTAGTATTAGATCTTGTTGTTCTGCCCCGATACACATATATTCTGTTTTGTTAATAATGATCTCGAGTCCCCATTTCTGATATTCTTCTATAAGCTTACGTGTCATATAATTTATGGCATCGTTATATTGTGCCTATGATCACCTGATCGTCCGCGAAGCAAAGTGTGTAGAGCATATTATCCCTTATGGGTAGGTATTGATTCAGACCTTTGGTTCCATTAAATCCTGTTGTTAACTTTTTGCCGATTTTTATTCTAGTTTTTGTTTGTTTATATAATGATTTTACTGCTTTTATTAGCTTTACGCCTATATATTGTTTTTTTTCGATAGCTTCCCAAAGTCTCACAACGGGAACGCTGTCGTATACCTTCTACAGGTCCACGAACACAAGATGTAGCTCTTAGTTTAGGTTGCTCTTTTTACTTATTACTTGAGTGACTGTAAATTAGACAACAATTGTGATAGAGATTAGTTTTCCATCTCAAATATCAATCATACCAAAGTTTATGGTATGAATGGTTGTCGTCTCGGCGCACTCAGTGATCAGGTGTTCTGATATTTCTCCATTTTCATCATTTCGTCATACTGAGGTGTTCAATGAGGAGGTAGTATCCTGTTAAAAACCCCGTGAGAATTCGAAGATTGTTCTTACTTAAATCAAGGAAAATCATCTTTGATTTTTCTCGGTGGTAAGTTTTGAGAAATTTCTTCAAGTGTTTAGACCGTTGGCGTCCAGGTTACATTTTAATTAAAAATTTTAAAAAATTGTAACTCCGAAATTACAGTAGCTAGCGAAACGCGGTTTTAAGATTAGGAATAATATTTGCAACAAAATTTGTAATAACATCAAAATCAGTGAAATTCGCAGTTTTTGAGATAATGAAACTAAAAGAACTGCCTACCAACTTTTTTTAGCATATTTTAGTATGGGCGGCTATACGTGCCTCCCGGCCCCAATTTTTTAATTTGTCATCATTCATGTATGTTCAGCAAATCTGTAAACTTTCACACAGGTCACAACAAACAGTGATTGATATAATCAGCTGCATAAGCTACATTTACATAACAGGGTTATAACAATAACTTACATCATTTGTCTGAACTTGAAATAACCAGAAGAAACCTCAAGATAAACCTGAAATCCTACAGGTACCTACTACTTTATATAAAAAAGCTGTATTTGCTCAAAATTTCATCACATTTTTCAACTTTATAGCACTAAATTGACACTAGGTTTGGAGCATACGTTACATTTATGTGTCAGTAAAGGTACTACTGTATTTGCTCAGATTTTAATGCATAATATATTTGTTTTCTCTTTTTAAACAACTGTAACTGTCACTGTCACTGGACTCGCGGTGCTTACGTCACCGTTTTTATTATATTCGCATAATTTCTACAATATTATAATGGTACCCAAACGAAAACCGGTTAATATTTAGACGTTTACGCGTACCAGTGAAACGTTCTGAACTGAACTTGGTCGGGTACGATTCCTATTATTAAAACCCGAGTTAAAACAAGTAATAAAAACGTTTTATGGTACTCTCTCTCTCACTGTTGCGGTACCACGAGCCGGTAAAAATATGGTACTACTTCGGGAAAAAAATCGGAACCGGTAGAGCGTGGTATTTATTTTTGAACGGTGGACATTTAACGGGATTTTTTTTTACGAGATAGAAGTACCGAGATGATTTGAGTGGTATTCTTCTATGAATCATTCATAAATGTCGTTTTTTTATCTGTTTAACTGTTTAACAAATTTAAAGCCCTATTGACAAGGTACAAATGTACTTGGATCAGTGCTGCCAACTTTCTGAAATAGAATTTCCCAGGAAGACGGCCAAAAATCGATGCCTAGTTGCCATTGATTTCGTTCATTCCAGTCTCCGTTACGCAGATCTCTTGAGCTCATCGTCTTCCATCCAGTTTGTCCTTGGTCTTCCCTGTTTCCTTCCCTTTTGTGGAATCCAGTTTAGTACCTTCTGAGGCAGTCGCGTACTGTCCATCCTTCTCATATGTCCATACCACTTCAGTTGGGAACTCTCTATTTCCTCTACTATAGTTTTTTGTCTAACCATTTTGTCCCTTATTGGCTCGTTGATCTCATTATCGCGTCCATTTTCTTTTTTTGAAACATACTTTACTTTATAATACTGCTGTCGACAAGAAAGAAATTTGCTCGAAATTTTCTGGCAACATTGCTGCCATCTCATCGAGAGATGAAGCTTACAAAAATCCACACAAAATGATTCTCATTGTATTACAGGGTGGGTCAAATTCGACGCTTTTAAATGGAAACACCCTTTTCTATAGGAGGTACACAAAAACTAATATCGGTGTCTGGAGCTCAATTTTCATCAAAAATATGATGGCGAAAACCGCACATCAATATCTGTCTCCGTTTCGAAGTTACGATGTTTTTCAAAAATGTGCATTTTTAACAAATCGCTGTAACTTTTTTGCTATGGAAAATTTTGTATTTCTATGAAAACATTTCCAAAGCACCTGTTTACGTAGGATTTAATGGTTTAAGTATAATTTTTTTAAAATTAATAATTTAAGAGTTATCAACAGAAAAATTGATTTTTTATTTGAGACACCCTCTATATTTTTAATTAACTGAAAAGAATTTAAAATTACCTTTCCAAAAATATAGCACACTTGATATTTCGTTATAATCCCCTTCGAAATACAGAATTTTTAAAAGTTCGTCACTTTTAACTAGTAGGCTTTGGACCCCTTATTGATGATATGCCCTTAATGGAACTCGAAAACATATTTTCCAGTAAGACGACGCACCGCCTCTGCACGCTGAAGTTATCAGCAAATTTTTGCAGCCAATTTCAAGAATAATTGAATAGCTGACCAAGAACCCAGCCGTTGGCCGTCGAGGCCGCCTGACTTAGTGCCCATGGATCTAATCCTATGGATATATTTGCGGAAGAATAAAGGTTCCTTATTCTTCCATATAATCTAGAAAAGAATTAGAAATACTTAGCAGTTATGAGAGGGTATCTTTCACCCCCACTGAGTTAATGAATTCCGCGAGAAATGTTCAAAAACTGCCTCGTCTGCCCATAACAGAAGACGGTCGATATGTCGAACACCTGTAGCAAAATCTCATGTCTTGGTTTGCTATTTATTTTTATTGTTATTAGATATAGTTTAAATGTGTTGATGTTGGTTAAATATATTTTAAATTGTTATAAAATTCTGCATCTCTCATAGCAAATATTATTTTCGTTTTAGTTGATGCTCACTGCTAAATTTTTTTTGCATTACAGCCGATGCCGTTCAAAGCCTACTTATTTTTTAAAGGGGGCGAATTTTTATATACTCTATATCTCGAAGAGGAATCGAGCAAAACATCAAGTATGTTATATTTTTGGAAAGGTAATTTTAAATTATTTTCAATAAATTAAAAATATACAGGGTGTCCCATATAAAAAATCAAATTTTCTGTTGATAATTCTTAAATTATTAATTTTAAAAAAATTATACTTAAACCATTAAATTCTACGTAAAAAGGTGCTTTGGAAATGTTTTCATAAAAATACAAAATTTTCCATAGCAAAAAAGTTACTGTGATTTGTTAAATATGCATATTTTTGAAAAACACCCCATAACTCCGAAACGATAACAGATATCGATATGCGGTTTTCACCATCATGTTTTTGACAAAAATTGAGCTCCAGACACCGATATTAGTTTTTGTCTATCTCCTATAGAAAGGGTGTTTCCATTTAAAAAGCGTCGAATTTGACCCACCTGTACATATATATATATATATATATATATATATATATATATATATATATATATATATATATATATATATATATATATATATATATATATATATATATATATATATATATATATTATATATTGTTTGTTAACTGTTAAGCCCCATTCTCCGTATTCTTCAATAAGTTTTCTTAGCATATATTGCATATCATCTTTGTCATTGGCGACTATTATTATTAATAAATAAAAATAACTATGTCTAATTATTATTAATAAATAATAATAACAAAAAAATCATTTTTTGTTAAATTCATATACAATATATATAATTTCAGATACATTTATATTTTCTGGCAATATTGCTGCCAACTCATCATGAGTGAAAAGCATTCCAAAAATCCACACAAAACGATTCTTATTGTA